ACCAATTACTTGTTAAAGTTTGTACAATCAGTGGGATCAGTTGCAATGCATATATGTGAATGATAAAAGTAAATTGCACATTTGTCGAAGGAAATGTAAGGTGCTTCATGAAATGTTTTGTAAAAGATATGTTCATTAAATTTCAACATTTTCCTAATGTTCTTGTGCTTCTTTATACCAAAACAAAGGAAAGACATATTGTTTTGGTTATTTATAGCAAAGTATTGTATCATTTTAATGGTCCGGCCCACTTGACATCTACCGAGGCCGTATGTGGCCCACCATGTGAAATGAATTTGACACCCCTGGTTTAAATGAAACAAATTATCGCATAGGTACGAGGCGCTGTTGATGGGATGTGCTTTCTTCCCAATACTCTCCACGTTAAGTTGAAGAAATTCAATTAAGTGTGGCTGAACGGCGGGATACAAATTGTGCAAAAGCAAATTGGTAATGGGAACAGACACATTTAAAAAAAACAGTCAAATGTCACAGGTAATCATAAAAATAGACGGATTTTGAGACGTGTGGTTAAGTATATCGCAAATGTGTAATAGAAACACAATTTTTGCGTTTCACGTCATATGACATGGCCTCCAACCACGTACAGGTAGATATACCACATCCAAAATGGCGCAGGTGTTGACGTGTCGTTGCAGGGGATCCATAGGTTTAAGCGTCATCTATGAATGCATCCTTGTCTGTGAGTCTTTTGCTGTCAGCTGTACATTGACCATTGTCGGCCACCGTAGAAGGGTTCTCCATAGTCCATCTGTGATTGTTTTGCCAAACAGTCCTAATGTAGGTTCACAACTAATCTTAAGACTAGGTCTGGTAGGCAGCGCATCTTCTTCTGACACTTAAATACATTATGGAGTTTTTGCTTCAAGTGAAAGTCGGCGCTCTGTTTGGTTTGCTGCTCCTAACTCTTTTTTTCGGTTTCATCCCCGCTCGAGTCACATGGTTCAGAGACACAAACGGGACAGGTAAGTGCAATTATTGATTTCTCCAATAGTGGGGGCTTATTTTGTTGCTTTTAAAAGGAGTACCTGTATTACATTGACCGAATGACATGAAAACCAACTCTTGGTTTCCAAATATAACTATTGTTGAGAGGTGGACTCTGATCAACTAGGCTGGATTGCTTGAATGTAATTTTTTCTCAGTGAAGAGTCACGTGCTCATGTTAGATTTTTGTCATCAGTGATTTGATCAACGGTGAAGAGAAACAAACGTGCTGGTGTTTTGAGGAGATTACGCCAAACACGTTGATTCATGCCAGGGACTGTAACATTTAGTCACCGACTCTTTTTATTAAGATATTGAATTTAATGCAATGGCTTTTATGCGAATACAAACTCAATACACTGCTGCTTGTGCTCTCGTCTAGCCCAAAGGGATACTAAATGTTCACACGTATTAATAGTGAAACCCAAGGTGGTGACTATAGGGAACTTGTCCGAAAGGGGATCTAGATTTAGTCTCGTGTGGAAGTCAAATATTACTGCACTCTCAGCATAAGGAACTTTCTGTAAAGTTATCTGTTCTAGAGTCAGCTCCTCGGACCCTTTGCTATTCTGAAAAAGCACATACTGTACTTACCATCAGCTAATGTGGTGAGGAAGCAATTTGGGAATTTCTCCATTGTGAGACAAATCAAGGTTTTCTTATCCCATTTACAGTCCTATATTCTCAACAGTACAGTATAGGTTGTTATTCTCATTTGTCATTAAATCGCCCTAAAAAAAGCTTGTGGGATCTATTTAAATGTGTGATCTTGTGTGATTTAAAAAAAAGATTAAAAAACAAATCTTTGCATTTTCAGAGACTCATCGCACAGTTTTGAGTTTAATAAGCTGCTTTGCCGGTGGAGTCTTCCTGGCAGCATGTTTGCTGGATATCATCCCAGATTACCTGGTGGACATCAATGCCGTCCTGGAGTCCAACATGATTGAGGTTAACCCACCCGGCGCGGGAACTCCTCCCTACCTCGCACTATTGTGATCGCTTAAGTTGTGCATGACATGATTCTCAATGGAAAACTATCTATTTCATGTTCATTGAAGATTTTAATTTAGTCCAATAATTGCTTTACTAATTTCACAATTTTCAATGGTATAAAATGAATATTTTGTCTTTAATACATTTGATAAATTGATTATTTTTCGTGGGAAATTAACACCTTAACGCATCTTGTCACTTGCTGTCAACGGAAAATGTGCTCAGGTCTCAGGTAACAACCAATCACAGCTTATGTGACGTTCACAAGCTGAGCTGTGATAGGTCAGTGCCTGAGCCCTGAGTACTTGTGATGTCATTTTCAGTCCACAGCAAGTCGTGAATTGCGTTTTAAAGGTGTTAATTGTACTTGAAAAACAATGAAGTTGCTATATTCATTATAATACATAATATAATACATAATTCTCCATAGGTGTGAATGTAATAGAACGGGTTAGGTACATTTCAACAAAACTTTGTGATATACCAATGATTAATTTTGATTAAGTGATTAATCTCATTGTTTTTGTCACACAGATTAACTTTCCCCTTCCTGAGTTCATCATGGCTGCCGGCTTCTTCATGGTCCTTATATTGGAGAGGATCGTTCTGAACTGTCGGGAGATGGGTGGGACTGCGGATGAGAGAGCTCCACTTATACAGGACAACAGGAATGGCCATGGCCACGGCCACGGCCATGGCCACGGTCACGGCCACGACTCCACTGTGACTCCAGATGTGGAGAACAGCGGCCACCATGTCCATGTCGACTTTCAGGCCCACTCGCCTTTTCGCTCATTTATGCTCTTCCTCTCGTTGTCGCTCCACTCAGTTTTCGAGGGGCTGGCTATCGGCCTGCAGGACACTGACTCGAAGGTAAGAAAAGAGGAATGCCTATCGTACACTGGCTTGTCTCCGTTTTATAGGTAATACTGAATATTTGAGCAGCGTGTACCCAGATTCTGTTTGGTTACACTTTGGATACAGCTCTTGGCTATCATAAATTGGGGCCAATGACTACTTAAGAGTGGTTCTAAAAAATCATCAGAATGTTTAAACACTGACCCACTTCGAGAGTCAATATTTTTTCCCGTCATTTACAATTCATTTGCAGAATTCACTGCTTACAATATTGCAAACATTCAGCAGGGATAAAATAAACAACCTTACGGAGATTTGTGTTGGAATTTGTATGTGAATGTACTTTGAGTGGTGAAAAATAGCCGCTGCGGCCACTTCCTATTCGTGATGCACCAACACACCCATGAGCCCCTTATAACCTTAAACTGCATCAGTTTCAAAATCAGTTCTTCCCAATGAACTGGCAGAATGTCAATACGACACAATACTGTCGAGTCCCCACGCTGTTCATAATGTGACAATACGTCGGCAGAAAAAAATGACCGTACGTGTGTTACCTTCTGTCTCCACGAGGTACCACCGATTATTTACACTGTAATGTACTGTATAATTCCATCGGAATTACTTTAGTAAGTTGAACCTGAAATTTAATCCGTTTACTGTAAAATACAATGTTAACGTTAGAAAAACACAAAAAAAAAACAGAATTCTCTATGTGTGTTCTACGACAACCATGTAAGCTGCATATCAAGCATGGTGTCAGGTTTTATTCGAGGCATGCCAACAATAAATGGATCGCTAAATTCCTTTCACACTATAGTTGCCTGCACTATTTCTGCAGTGCATTCTTGTGCGTGAGATAGCAGGATTTGAAAGGTGCACAGTTCAGCTGCAGGCATTTTGTATTTTATGAAGTGAACAGTTGTGGTGTCCACATGATCCTGTAATGCAGGGGTGTCAAACTCATTTATGGCGCGGGCCACATTTTAGTTACCGTTTCACTTGGAGGGCCGTTATGACTGAAACCGTATAAAGAAGTCAAGAATAACTGTTGATTCAACTATTGTTTAAATTACTATCATGAGGGATTTGGTAACAAGAAAATGCTTAGAATAGGTCTCTTATTTACTATATATGAGAATTTAAAATGTTGGTAGACATTTTAGAAGGGATCATGGAAGTTGACATGTTTGAGCTGCTTTCACGGGCCTCATAAAATGATGTGGCGGGCCAGATCTGGCCCCTGGGCCTGGAGTTTGTCCCCTCTGCTGTAATGAAACCACGTGCAACGTTACTGCCATTGTTCACCTTTCAGAAGTAATTTTCAACATCTTTGGTAATTTGTACCACTTTTTAAACAGAGTATCTTTGTATCAGGCTAGTGAAAGTGTTCAAGTGTCAAAATAATATATTAAAAACTATTAGTTTTTACTTGAGTGCTTAGTGTTCAGGTACCAAGCCCTCCAGTATGAAACAATGGAGTGCAGTACCATGATATTCAACAATGTCTTGCAAAGGGCTGAGTGAACGATCATTATTTATTCAATTTACACTGCAAGAAGGTTTGACTTAAAGCATATATCATTTGGACCTGGTTTTAAAGAAGTTCATTTTTTGGCTCTCATGTGACACTCCTGGACCATACTTTCTGAGAACAATCCTTACATTACATTACATTACATTAAAGAGAGAAGTTCCAGCTTCTGGTCGGATGCTTTGACAAGCAAGGAATGTTCCGGTCATAAGACTTAAATGTCGTCATGTGGTCAAGGGGCCCCCATCAATGCAGCCTCAACATTCTTTGGTGTAGCTTGAGGGTTTTTCACCTCCAAGCTTCAAAAATAGATGTTTACAAGAGATAGCTTTTGCATGTTCTTCACAATTTATAACAGTTCCAGGCTGTCATAATAACGTGTCTCTGACCTGCCCAAGGATCAAGACTTTGAGCACACTTTGTTTATTGTCTTGCTGATGTCAGCATACTTTGAGTGAAAAGCCATGTCTCATGCAAATGAGCGATGGACACCCATTGTCTACGATGTTTGATACCACTTTTTTTCAGACCAATACCAGTGTGAGTACTCAACTCTTGAGTAATCACTGATACCAAGTAACCGATACTACTGGTTCTTTTGATAAAATTCCAATTCAACCAATAACAGATCATTTTAAAGAAAGACCGCTTGTTTATTTCTGACAAAACGGAGAAACGGTCATTCTGCAAGCGTTAATTCAAGTCCAAAATAGACACAAGAAACTTTTAAAGTTTAGGGTTCACTTTTAATAAACAAACAAACGTGCAAAAACAAAACAACAAACAACTCTCTGATTGTCAGTGTTTGTCCAAAATAAATTGAAGTGCAAAATCATCGAGGGTCAACGATTAATTGTGAAGCATGACACTATAAAGTTGCAAAATAGGGCTAGGTGATATGACTGAAAAATGGTTGATATCAGCTGGTATTAATAAATATATATTTTTTTTACCTTTACAAAATAAGAAAAATACTACATGGATTAAAGATAAAATAAAACTAACCGGAGGAAAATATCTTTCATATTACAAAATATAAGTACAAAAAAAGTAGGCATCAGGTGAGTTGAGCACTCTGTATAATACGCACGAGTAGGTAAAGGTGCTATATTACCTGGGACTGCATTCAGCAGGAAAAGTTGGGCTTATTAATTCACTGAATAACGACAACCTTCTATTTTCTTCACTCAATTAAAGCAGTTAAATGTGTAAGTACTGTAAATGCATGAAATACTGTCATGGAGAATGTCACCATGCCACCCATATTGAGTTGGCAAAAAAAAAAATGTGTAGCAACATAGTAATAATGTCCTCTAAGCATGAATATAAACTTGATAAACATACACGTAGAAATTTCATCTTAATGGTGGTATGAGAGGGTGGACAAGGATGCAATTGACAGGAAAAAAGTTCTGTCAGTCTCTCATGCCATATACATCTTTGATAGCAGAACGTCCACAAAAGCACACCTGAGGTATCAGTGACCGGTACCGGCAGCCTTAGCAATACCTCGATACTTTGAAATAAGGCCGATATTGGTCCGATACCCATACCTGGTGTCGGTACTCGCCCATCCCAAGCACCCTTAAAGACAATCATTTGTACACGTGGAGACAGAACTACACACACAACACCGTATTTATGTAGCACTTGGACACGTCGCCAAACACAACCGCCGCATCAACAACTTCACTGTTGTTTATTATAACCTTAGACTATTTAGGCTTTTTTTTTTTCCATATCGCTTAGCCATAATGTCCTTTCTTAAAGATTAAATATATGTTGAAATGAATGAAAACCAAATGTTTCACCGCACAGGTGTTGGAAATCTGCATTGCCATACTGGTCCACAAGAGCATCATCGTGTTCAGCCTGTCAGTGAAGCTGGTCCAGAGCGCCGTTCGTCCCGCGTGGGTGGCCGCTTACATCGGCGTGTTCGCCATCATGTCGCCTTTGGGCATCGCCATCGGCATCAGCGTGATTGAGGCCCAGCTGCCGGCCGGAGCGCTCATCCAATCTTTCCTGGAGGGCCTGGCGGCGGGCACCTTCATCTACATCACCTTCCTCGAGATCCTCCCGCATGAGCTCAACTCCCCCGGGAAGCAGCTGCTCAAGGTGCTCTTCCTCCTGCTGGGCTTCGCCGTCATGGCCTCACTCACCTTTTTGGGCTGAGGGCACGAGATGTTGAAGTCGGCCAGGGTGCTCGTCAAGATTTTGGCTTTGTTTTTGGATTCCTCTTCTGTTGTAAGTGTGCAGAGGGCATTTCTCTCCACGTTTATGACAGTGTTTCCGTTGCAGGTCCTTGACTTTTCATCATCCACCGCAGGTGCATTTTTGAGGGAACACATTAACAATGCTTGATGTTTTTAGACCTTTCGGTGTACTTTTTAAGATGTTTCATGAATGATATCTAAATGTAAGTTATTTCATTTCAGAGTTTTATGTGAACAGGGCCTGTTTAATCATCAAGTAAGTCAAAGGGTAAACGGGGGCGTATAGGAACTGTTACGTATCACCGGCCAAACACTTTGAACCTGACTGAAGAAACCACTGGAGATGTTTACTTTGTGTATTTTATCCAATCATGTCACATAATTAGCATCTACATTTGTTTCCGTTTACATTTGCTTCATTTGATTCAAATGAGATGTGTTTCCCGACAAGTGCCTCCACGTTTGCGTACGTACTTAATTTACCAAGAAGTTATTTTTCCTTTTGTCTTTGCTTCAAGTAGTCTATCACTGACCTCATGACCTTTGATTTGTACTGTTAATATGTTATTACACTTCCTTTAGCCTATTTGTGGACTCAGTAATATTTTATTGCTCATATGATTTATGGTTAGATATGTTTTGTGAGCTTGCATGAATGTAGGCGTGCTTCCTGATGCCTCATATATTGTGACCTAAAAAAGACAATACAAACAAGAGAAAACACGGGATTTTTTTTTCACCCCCACTTCCCCCATAAAGCATCAGTCACTATTCGAGAAAGACTAGTGTACTAAACTAATTGGAACCCGATCTTTATATTTGCAAATTGATAGAACTGTCATTTAATATCACCATCTGATTTTTAGCATTGTATGAGAATTGAGAGCATGCACTGTGTCCAGAATTTGCAATTTTTTTATGGTGATGTAGAACAAATGGCTTTGTATGATGAAATAAAATATAGCATGAACAAAGCGTAATTCTTTTTAACTGTTAAGATGGGGAATGTCCCGGTTTATGTTCAGTTAATTTCCATTCGGGGCGGCATGGCTCAGCGGTCGAGTGGTCATTTCCCAACCCAGAGGTTGGTTGCTGAATCCGCGGCCATTGCGACCATGTCCAAGTGCCCTTAAGCAAGAGACTGACCCTCAGTTGCTCCTTATGCTGCGTCATCAATCAGTAGATGAATGTGGTAACAGTGAAAAGCGCTTTGAGTATCTGATGTGCGCCATCTAAGTGACAACATATTTTGCAATTGAGGAACTATAGTAGTCCATCCATAGTGGTGTTTATTCCATGTGACCAAGAACTGTTCCTGTCTAAGATTGTGGAATACAACAAATGCATTGTGCTGCAGTATGCAGTAAGTTCCTCATCTAGCCATAAAGTCCTCTTTCCCATCAATCATAACTGATATTAAATGTTATACTGTCATACACTATTGTTTAAAGGCTGTTCGGAGTAGCTTCATTCTTTCACTTGTACCTCAAATTGTGGAGGGGGAATTTATTATGAAGTCATGGATACATAGATAAATATTTACAACACTCGTAGTCATTCTGTATTCACTCTGACATGAGTTGGTATCTCATCAGAAGCAAATGTTGGTTACTGTAACTTAATAGTGCATTAAAAAACGTTTATCGTTCATAAAATCAACGTAAGGACTAATACATAATCGTTAATGACCACAATGTACCGCCATCTTGTGGAGGTTTGTATGTATTACAGAGCAAATGGCTGAAAGTACAATGTGTTGTTTTGTTGGCAACGTTTATAAAATACCATTATGAAAATATGGTCAATTATTAAACGTCTTTTTAATGCTGACTTCCATGTAAAAAGTATCATTATCAGTACGATAAGTTTATACTACCTTATTTTGAAGCATTCAGTCACACATGAATATTCCCTTTGTCCAAATTGTGGGCCATTCAGAATCACATATGGCACGACATTCTACGAACCCCCCAATTTCAATGAAGTTCGGATGCTGTATCAAATGTAAATTAAAACAGAAAACAATGATTTTTCAAATCATTTCACATACTTTGGAATGCACTACAAAGATATTTTATTTGATATTCAAGCTCGTCAACTCGATTCGTTGTATACTCATCATGAAGACTCTTAACGGCTTGCAAAGTGTCATAACATCAACACTCTTGCCTGATGGTCCGAAGGCATTATTAACTCATTTTTCCTTTGTGTGTGTGGGGGGGGGGGCTTATTCATGGGGGTCTGCTAATGAGAGGTTGTGTAGAAGAACAATAGCACAAAGTACAGTAAGTCGGCCAGCACAGAGGCCCCTCAGTGTGTGTGAAGGAGCCAGTGAAGCATCAAGCTCGGGTTGCGAGATGGCGAACACTTCTGCTCGCTCACATTTCAGCATGTCAGAAAGCTTTCAAGTGTATAAAATTAGTGGACTGATGCATCATTTTCCGTTAGTAATCACATCAGAATATTTTCTGCTGAAAAATGGATACAAGACAAAAAAATCGAAGCTTATAACGAGCACTCGCACGCACTGACCTTTGTTTTATACTCTGAGTGCTCTTTGTTTTGAAATTAATTGTTGTGATCAATTATTAAATACTAAAATAGCCACAGTTGGTCGGTCATAACTCATATGTGATGGGGGGGAAAAAAACAAAACAAGAGGTCGCCTCCAAAGGAATGCACAGAGCGGAAGGTGCAATATAAAGTCGAGTGTGGTCAGTTCTCTCGTGTGACACGTCCACAATCATGCAACTAGGAGATCAAATTTCACATTTCACGTGCTGTTCCACAATGCTGTTCAACCTCATGTCAGATGAAGTGTAAATGAAAAGTGTAAATGTGAGTGATTGTAGAGTATATGCTGTGGAGGTGGCGCAATACATTTTCATATCATTTAAAAGTTCATTCATTTCAATAGTTCACTTCTGAAGGAGAAACTCAAATATAACTCAGGAAAGCTGTATGAAACACAAATACTTTTTCAGAAACCCTATTCAAACTCAATTTACCCTTTGCTAAAGTCCATCCATCCATTTTCTGTAAAATTTTCTTGAAAAAGTGAATTAGAGGCTTTTGGTAGCCGTACACTAGCAACTTATCTAACAAATACAAAAACTGAAATATTTCACTCGTACTTACAGTCATTGTTATGATTGATATGATTCATTGATATGAGTCGAATTTTATTTAATTTGTTGTCAAGTTTTCATTGCTACTTATGGAAATGTGCTAGGCAGCTTAAACCAGTCCTTATCAAAAAAATGTGGCTGGTATATATTCCTTTTTTTTTTTTGTCTCTCCCATTGAGTGACCCTTGCCACCCTAAGCTCCACCTTCAATTTGCATTATGCAAATGAGTCGGTTGGTTGGTGCCAAGTGAGTGATGCATCCTCCCCTTCTAGCCCCCTTTCCTCCCGTGGTCTTCTCTTCCTCCTCCACAGTCCCAAATACTCATCGTTCTCCACCTGCTAAAGGTAAGATGGACGTTTCTCGCTAGCTACTTGATCTTACTACGCTCCTCCGAGATGAAGAAATAAATCATCAATAATATTTCCAGATAGAATGATTTCTTTCATCAGTATGTGAAAGTTCAACAGAACGTAGCTAAAACGCCTGTCATCTTTCTCCACAGTGACGCTGTTGTGAGATACTGCAGGCAAACATGGCCGCTGTAAGTGAAATGAAATACTGTGAGATGTTTAACTTTCTATCATTGTGTCAGTAGATGCTTGCTCTGGGATGGACCCGTGAGCACTTTTTTTTTTTAAGACGTGGCTATACAGGTCTTTTTTCTGTAATCATGTGAAGCAGCTTAAGGAGTCACTCGGTGGTGTGCGTCGCTTGGGGTGCCCGCCAGCTCACGAGCATGCCTGACACTTCAAGGGGAAAGTCAAGTCAAACTTTTTCGACACAATAATATGTTGTATGCACCGCTAATAGTCTGAACATAGCATTCTGATGATTAATATTGTATTTGTGGAATATGAATGAAGCAATACAAATCCCCGTTTTCATTCATCTCAGGGGCCCTTATACTGCTATTTGGTGTCAACTGAAAATGACATCACAGTCCCTGAGGCCTCAGCTAACAAGCAATCACATCAAACCCAGAAAACAGGTGAGCCGTGATTGTTTGTTCCCTCAGCCCCGAGCAACTGTGATGTCATTTTCAGTGGACAGCAAGCGGCAAAATGGCCGCCCCCTGAGATGGATAAAAATGGGTGGATTTTTCAGCTTGACTCATATTCCACAAACGCAATATTAATAATCAGAATGCCATGTTAAGACCAGTGGCAAGAGAACATATGATTGTATTTATGACTTGACTGTGCAATTCATAAGTATGTGTCAAGTCTTGACCTTCAAGTTTCAAGCAAGTCCAAAGTTAGCGTGGTAAAAATCAAGCACGTCATGTCGAGTTACGACTGAATTGCAAGAAAATGGAGGTATTATTTGGTTAATCTTTCTCTCTTCCAATTTATATATACAGTAATCCCTCGCTATTACACGATTCTTCTTTCACGGCTTTGCTGTTTCATGGATTTTTTTTTAATGCAGGTTTTTTGTTTGTTTTTTACAGTGCATTGTGTTCTGCATCCTGATTGGCTAAGGGACTGTCGACGAATGTCAACAGTCTCCGTGCCTCATCGCTTTACAGCTTGCCAAATTTTCTCCATGACGTTGATAGGCTTGATAGGCTTGAACGTTCTATACAGTATTTCTAAAAAAAAAAAAAAAAACCTGTCAGTTGTTTGTAAGAAAAAAACATCAATATTTTAGTTTTTTTTAAGTGTTTGAACCTGAAAAAAGTATTGTATTGTATATGTAGTAATTGTAAAAAATAAAGATGACTACTTCATGGATTAAAAAAGAAAAATCTAACTTTTATTTCCAAAGCAAAACTAGCATCACATTATTCTTAAATTGCAGATTTACAAATGTAAACTGGCAAGACTTTTTCAAGTCTTGTGGTTCAAGTCAAAGTCAATTTGAGTCTCATGAAGTATAAAAAGCTATTATTCATCAACATCGCTGTTTGGTCTGTTACGCAGACTGGATCTTTCCGTGTGGTGTCAGAGGACGAGCAGGCCATGAGATCCAAGCTGGAGCATCTGACAGTGAAGGATCATGGGCCCGTGTTTGGGCCATGTCACAAAATGCCAGGCCACACCGCGCAAAAGGTATGACGGCTTTGGACGGGGCAGGCTGACGTCAACTGCGCAACTCTAAATACGATACGACCACTTTTCAGGCTAAAGATGAGCTGAACGAGACCGAGGAGAGGCGGATGTTGTCCCTCAAGGATCTGCGCGTCATGATGAAGGAGAGGGCGGCCGAGGGAGATGACCTGGCCAAACTGGTGCTGGAGCGTTTCGGGGACAAGCCCGACGCTCTGCTCCTGCGCTTCCTGCGAGCCCGCAAGTTTGATGTTGTCAGGACGCATGAACTCATGAAGGGTAACCATCTTTCGCCTTATCATTGTTTTAGCATTTGTTCACATTCCGTTGATATTTACTGATAGCTTCAGTAATTGAGGGGGAGGCCTCTTTTGTGCTCCGCTTTAGCATGAATACTGTCCATCACAGAGAAAGGGAGCCATGTGGTTGTTAATTGGAGGCTCTGATGAGGCCCTGACAAAGACCTCCTTTGTCTCCAACTGGGACAGCAAGTATATTTTACTTGGGAACTCACCGTGTATGTACTGGTGGGAACTTCACAGCAGAGTGCCATGAGTTACACTGGTTGTACTGCTGCTCAGTTTGACGCTGTTGATTGATTGACTGGTTGATATGAGCTATAGAGTGGACATGCGTGGAAGTCCAAACGCAAGAAATTGGTGAATTTGTTCATGGTGAACCCCAAATGTGAATGAGATTACTGTGTTCTTTGTATGTCTGGCTGTGAGGGCCAGACGCACGCCATAGCAGTAAGAGTCTATCTAGTATTAGTAAAAACGTAATCATCGTTATTTGCCGAAGCATTACCACTGTTAATTCAGTAACTTCATTCTATTCACGTGGGAGAGAGCCTGGAGTGGACAGCAGAAAGAAAAAAAAAAATCAAAAGCCTCGCCTCTGTTTTCTCGTGCTTGATCATGTGGGATTCAGTTGATTTCTTCCCACATGAGAAACGCGGTTCTAGACTAGGGTTGTAATAGTGTCAGATTTTGCATTATACTGGTAGTTAGTTTTTATTTCATTTTGACATTTGCCCTTTATATTCAATTAGTTTAAATTAGGTTTCAGAGCAGGTCTGTCAGGTTGTTATATTAGTTTGGTTTATATTAGTTTTAGTTTGTTCATTTTTAAAAAATATCACAACTAAACTCACCTATTCTTTATTTTTATCGTGCTTTCACAACAGGGCGTATTTGTGGAGTGCAAGACGATAAAACAAGGTCACTCTTGGGAAATAAAGTAAAATACCTGGATTTACAATTCGCAAACGACTGTTGAGCTTCCTTCTTCTGTATGGCCGTATAGTAATAACGAAATATAAATGCATTTCAAATAAACCCCAAAATCTCATGTATGAAATTAATTGACAAAATAAAACAAAGGATATTTTCGCTATAATCATAGTTTTAAGTTAGTTGGTGTTTTCATTCACTGCCAAACACCAAACTGCCAAATGAAAAACTACTCTTTTCATTCATTGGGAAATAAAAAGGTTTTAATCTGCCTTTCGTAATCAGCAGTCGAAAAAGGTAGGTTGCATAAAACACTCATTGGACTCCCAGTGAACTCACAAACTGTGCTGATGTCATATCTACAATGAGGCATCACCGCCATCTACTGGTGGGTGTGCAGCCGTAAAGTTGTTTCCAAGTTTGAAATTTAAAGTGCAATAACATCGGCCGACGTTAAATCCAGCTTCTTTCACCTTAGACGGCTGGCCAAAGTAAAACCTCTCCTCTCTCATGAACACTTTGAGACAGTAATTCATGCCTTTGTCACATCCCGGCTCGACTACTGCAATGCCCTTTACTTTGGAGTCAGCCAGTCCTCCGTTAAGTGTCTCCAGCTGGTCCAGAATGCCGCTGCTCGCCTCTTGACTGGTACTCGTAAGAGGGAGCACATAACTCCTACTCTGGCATCCTTTCACTGGCTCCCCACACATTTTAGAGTTATTTTCAAGATCCTCTTATTTGTTTTCAAATCTCTAAATAACCTTGCGCCACCTTACCTCTCTGAGCTCATCCGCCCCGACACACCTGCCCGGCGCCTCAGGTCTGCGGACCAGACATTATTAGAAGTACCAAGAACTAAACGGAGGCTCAGAGGGGATCGAGCCTTTTCTGTTGCTGGTCCCTCTCTCTGGAATGACCTCCCACTGAATATTCGGCAAGCCTCCTCGGTGCCCATCTTCAAAACCCGCCTCAAAACTCACTTGTATTCTTTGGCATTTGACTCAGCATGACTTATTTTTGTTCTTGGTTTTGCGGTTCGGTGCTTTCTACCATCTTTATTACCGATTTGCTTTACTGTTTGTTGTATATGTTGAATTGCTCCATGTACAGCACTTTGTATGCAGTGATGGCTGTTTGAAAGTGCTCTATAAATACAGTTGAGTTGAGTTGAAAAAAAAAACTGCAACGGTATAATTGTCAATGACAGTTACAAAGTTTTAAAAGCTTATTTTATTTTGTCCACAAAAATGTTTTTTTCAATCTCAGTTGTAGTTCTTTCATTAGTTTGAATTAACTTTATAACCTTGTTTGAGGCCTGTTCCATATGAATATGTTGAGTGAGAATTGCTTTTATATACAAGGAAGGGACAACTGACTTGACTTTTCTTCAGAACAAAAGCTCGCTTAAGTTTAGTGAAAGCATTGTTTTCCAAACCCCAAGAATTTCCCCTTTTGAGCATGATAAGAACTCAAGGCGCGCATCTAGCCATATCTAGATAAAAGTAGACAAAAGTTCCATTTCGCTCACATGTTTAATGAGGGAAAGCGTTTGTGTTGGTGTGCAAATGTGAACTTTTTCTGAGGGGTTAACCTCGGGTTGTGAGTGAAAAACAAACACTCGCACACTCATGCGCGCGCACGGCCTTAATTGGGGTCTTTGGGGTATGAAAAGGGCATACAGTGCACATGCTATGATGAAACAGTAGTGTCATTGTGTGTGATGCATCTCCTCATACACGCACAGCAATGACTGTTCATGACCCGCCATGAATATCTTGCATTGTCGTGGCTGTTTGTAGGTTACGTGCGCTTCAGGAAGGAGTACCCTGAGTTGTTTGAGAACCTGACGCCCGAGATGGTCCGCAGCACCATTGAGTCGGGCTACCCCGTGGTTCTGCCCAGCAGGGACAAATACGGCCGTGTCGTGCTGCTCTTCAACATTGAGAACTGGGACCTGGACGAGATCACCTTTGATGAGGTTGCAAAAAAAAAAAGAAAAACAATCAACAACAAAAAAAATGTTGATAGGCTTGAAATATCATTTAGAAATACTAAATCCATCTACACGTTAATCGACCGGCATTAAGTGTTTGTCTGATAGTGGTCTTGTTAATGCCACCGCTCCACTGTGTGTGTGTGCGTGTGCGTGTGTGTGTGTGCATGTGTCAGATTCTAAGAGCGTACTGTGTGATCCTGGAGAAGTTGCTTGAGAATGAAGAGACCCAGATCAATGGCTTTGTCCTGATTGAGAATTTCAAGGGCTTTACCATGCAGCACGCCTCCGGGATTAAGCCGGCTGAGCTCAAGAAGATGGTGGACATGCTGCAGGTCAGTCGAGAAATAGGCCATCGATCAACTGAACACACTCAACAATGAGCAGTTTTCGACCGCGGTTTTGTTCGCCGTGCAGGATTCGTTCCCCGCCCGTTTCAAGGCGGTTCACGTCACCCACCAGCCTTGGTACTTCACCACTACATACAATGTGGTCAAGCCTTTCATGAAGAGCAAGTTGCTGGAAAGGGTATGGACAGAGGGGCGGGGCTCACGCACTTCTCTTTCCGCATGGCTTCTCGTCTGATGAATACCTTTCACCTCAGGTTTTTGTTCACGGGGACGAGCTGGACAACTACTTGAAAGAATTTGATGCCGACATTCTTCCTGCAGATTTTGATGGGAAAGCTTGTGTGGCGGACTGCCAGGCTATCGCCAACAGGCTTTTCGGCTCCGAGGACACGGCTCTCTGAACCAGGATGGCCTTCATCGCAGATGATGATCAAATAGCCACTCTGATTTGAAGCGATAGCACGAATCTCTCTTTTTTTTTTTTAATCCGTAAGGCAGCGCTGAGCAGAAAAGTATTTAGTTAGTAGAAGATGGTTTGCCGTGATAATTGATATGGATGTTTAGATATTGCAGAAAGAGTTGTTTGAGATGTGCAGCAGATATTTCTTTTTACTGTTCAAACAGAGGAGGTGCGTTCACTGTTTGCCTTTCCAACTTGAAGAATATGTGCCGACAACTCGCCAGATGAATGCTAAGAGAAAATAAAGTGGTTCTAATGCAGGATACCATAAGAGTACATGAGAAGGGTTATAAAGTGGTTACAAGTAAACCTGCGTGGTATTAAACGATATATTGTCCCAGTGGCTTTTTTACTCTTCAGATAATTTCATAGCAACAATTAATTGCCCGGAGCACTACAAATGTCTTTTGTAATTTGCAGTGGATTTATAAGTATATTCATTAAAAAAAAAAAACGTTTTCTGGCTGTAATATAATGTGTCAGGAAATTGCAAACACATTGTTGATGTCAGAATCATGACAGAGTCTTGCACAGTTTCTGAAGGTTTTTGGGTAAGAAAAAAAAAAAAACACCAGAAAAAGTGTTTTTGTTGGACAAAATTTATTTTAACCACAATTCCTTATATAATGATTCTTGAAAAAGAAAACAAGGAAATAAAAAATGATCCAGTGTCCAAAATGAGAAAAGAATGTGTACAGCTTTCTTATCATTTTCACGTCCCTTTATGGTATTTCAGCATGAACAACAAAAAGAACATTAAAGCTGTATATTTACTGTGGCTTATTGTGACGGCGAGCTCTCAACCACATACTGAAAAAAATGGTGACTCCATCCAAGCTGAGTGTTTTTGGAATCTAGTTTTGAATTATTCATTTGCCCTAAAAAAAGTATGAGGCCAAAATGCCATAAAGGAAACGCTGATTTTCGATGGCCTGGGCACATATGACTACATTTTCTTTTACAACTACAGTATAGTACACAACATTAAAAGTCCCCCATCATGGTGTCGTATTTACACAGATTTTCATGAATCTCTTCTGATTGCTTATTGCCTTCAGTCCCTTTATTTTAGCTCCAATCCTGAGCTCTTAAATATTTCAAAATAAATGCATTTTCAAATATTTACTCTTTCATTTATTAAGGTCGATCATTTTGGTTGCTTGACAGATGTGACGAAATGGCAAAGTATGTATTACTCCATCACCAACATACAAAGACCAACAGATATTTGGAGAAATATTCACACAAAAAAATGAATATTTGTTAAGTTGGAGGAGGCAAAACAAAAACAAATTCTCATTCATGAAGGCTGAACTGGAAACAAATCAAGCAATGGCGTCACGCTGGGTGAGATGCTGATTGGTATTAGAAAGTAGGCGGTAGCAGGGATTTTTGTATTCTCTATTCTTATTATATTCTATGCTGGCAAAAAAAAAATATTAATCAGTTATTTTTAATATGATTGTTTTTCACCTTACGACCAAATTAGACACCACCACTTTGTACCATATTGTACAATGGTCACAAGTGAATGAAAAAGAACTGCAAAGAAGAGAAAGAGGAATGTGGGAGGGACGCAACAGTGGGATCATTTTTGCCTGACTGAGAAATTGAATTTGGGGTCAAATAAATAAATAAATAAAAATAACCGAGCTTGTTGTTGAAGATGCTGGACACCAGCAACAGCCCTGTACTAATAAACAGGCTACATGCCTGTTTATTAGTACAGGTGGACATCATATCTCTCATTTCAGTGAATAGCCATTGTGTAAATTGTGTGTTCTATTGTGTACCCCAACCCCAACATTGGAACAAAAACAAAAGGACTTAGGTTAGATCGAAATCGAGTTTCATATGAGATAGGTGCTGACTCTTTCAAGGTCCACTGTTGTTACGGCTTTGTTTGCAGTGCATCATCGTTTTGAAGTAAACTCATCTGTCAATGTCCCAATTTTTAGAGGAAAAAAAAATGACCGTGTTACTTTGCCTTAGAGTCAACATTTTTATCTCTGCAATTAGAGCTCAAAGAATTGAAGTCTGAAGTTGCATTCGAGCAATTGACTGCATTTCGCTTTTGTTCAAGTAGACGCACTTGAGCACCGAACACCAAATATTTGAACATAATATATGAACAACTCATTACAATCACTAGCACTGTTCAAACGGTTCACAAAAACAAACATTTGGTTTATCATTTCGTAACTTGGCCCTTCAACTCGTCGTACCTCACAGCTGAGATCGTTTTAACCAAGCTAATAAGTGTGCTTGCCATTGCAAAACCGTCCCTTCGACGTTCCCGGGAATGAGGGCTTGGCTTTGGCTTCTGAGCACTGGCAGTGAGGTGAGACGCTCACCTCTCGACTGATGCTGCAGCTGGTCAAAGGCGAACGGAAGAGAAATAGATCGCGATGACACCAACGAGAGACAACACGCGGAACATCGGAATTACCTCACACATTAGCGACGTTGTCGTCTCAATAGCGGAGAGCGTATTTAAAAAAAATAATACATGGGATGGGTGAAGCTATAAAGTGCAAAGAAGCAGAGATTGTGACTGTGGCCATGTGCATTGATCCCATTTGGGGTGATCCCTGCTCCCAAGCAAATAAGCTTTCTTCTTTTTAAGGTGTCATGCATAAAGTAAGCGCCAGGGAGTCCTTTGGTTGATTTTAGTTGGCGCAAAAAGAAGTCCTATGAAGACGTTACATTGTTTTTTAAGAGCTAATTTTAATAATAACTTGGATCGGGCCTCCCAAAGCATGATGTGATACACTGACCCCAGTTTTTACCTTTCCAACCCGACTCGGTCACAATGGTTAAGGATGGAATGGATACTAAAAGGACGCTGCATGGAGGCTATAATGGTGGCGATAAGCAGTGATCGGTAACGGACACCAAGCACAGCACTAAACTACTCTGATGGCCTCGTTTTTATGGGCCGCATCTTCTCATATTTGGTCACTGCCTTCATTGACAAAGGTCACCGGTGAGCACACGTCAAAAAGTCATGTGTTCCTGCTCTGAACTTCACAGAAGCAGATGGTTGTTCCTGTGACTGCGCTGAAGGCATGGGGACACGTGGCGGGCGCAGCACCAAAGAGGAAGGCAGAAGGAGAGAGGGAGCACTTCCACATGTCTCCTGAGTGACGGGACAGTGGAGTCTTGTGTGGTTTACCATCAGGGAGTGAGAAAAAAGACGGAGCCAAAGGCTTTAGGCTTTTTCCTTGGTGCAGGTACTCTCGCTCAGGTGGTCGCTTTGGCAAGGCGGTTTCTGCTTCTGCCACTGGCAGATGGCGTTGGCGTAGCTCACAATCACTTTGTCCATCCAGGTGAGGGGTTTGGGGAAAAGCACGGCGCCCTTGAAGAAGCCGAGGTGGCCGCCGTGTAGCGTCAAGGCGAAGATGACGTTGGGCTTCTTCTCTACGGAGTGACACAAAGCAGAGAGCCGTTAGACCTCTGGACTCTGAACACGGGAACAGAGGAGTTGCCAACAATAGGATACCGATACTGGTTTGTACAGATAAAAGCATGACTCATCGGTTCGATATCAGTTTGCCACACAACCACACAGTCTTCCATAACAGTGTAATAAAACAGAGAAAAAGCATTACAGTCAGTCAATGGACACAGCAACTAAAAACTATTTAGCTGTTTTCAAAAGGCCCAAACTGGTCTCAGACTTGTCAGTACTGTACATTTGCCCTGGTTGTCAAATTAGCCAGATGACAGTGCAGGGGTCCTTGGTTTGCAACAGCTACACTGCTACGGCAGCGACATGACGCTAAATTGTAACTGAGTCGGAAGAGCAACAGCTATGCAATGCAGCTATGCAACAGCTATGGCAGCGACATGACGCTAAATTGTAACTGAGTCGGAACACAGTGTTCCGCATCATGAACCTTTGCTAATTCGGTACTAGAATCAGAGTTACGGTAAATCTTTGCTTCAAAAGAAACACTTGCAGGCCACCAAAATGGAAGACTCAAATGGACGGCAGTAAAGCAATGTCCTTCTTCACATGTGAGATGAGACTCAATGTACCTTTGTTAATGTTAGTATTGAACGTTATTATTAAGAAATAATTATATCTGTTTATGTGAAGACACCAACCATACTAATGATTTCTGCCGCAGGCTACGCATATGAATCTTGGGGGCCCCACATTGGTGACCCCTGATGCGCTAATTCGGTACTAGAATCAGCAAACTAGTTGATGCTGGGCCATTCGTAAGCTCAAATGTCGGAACTGTAAACGGGGGACCCCCTGTAGTCATTGATACAGCATTATGCAATTTCACAATCAATATTCCAATGAACACACGTTATTTACATACGAAACCTCGGCTTCAATTTTGAACTACTGTAAGGAAAGTTGCAGATGTTGACGTCGATGTGTCTGACAAGAGTAGACGAAGCTTAAAGAGGAGTTGAGCGAGAAACGGAATTTGACAAATTACAGTGAGCCAAGCTGGGACAGCTGCCTGAGAATTGGCAACCAAAGATCAAGGTTTGTCTCCCTTGATAGGTATCAGGACATCAGGCACCCAAATAGCAACCTGGTGCTAGAAAGCTGCCCACGACTCTATTCATCCATTTTCTAGATCACCTGCCCTAGGAGTCACTAATTGAGTGTGCTTTCTGTCACCAAAACTGTGACAGCTTAAATACCTCCACCCACTTGTTTGCATGATTGCGGCTTTAAATTCTACAATTTTGTTCTTTGCTTTTTTTTTGTGGGGGGGGGGCGCTATCTGAAAATGATGGTAATTTATGTCAAAAAAATTACAACGTATATCATTCACTGCACTGCATTTTATTGTATGAATGAGAGAGAGAAAGTGTTAGTGTGTGTGTGTGTGTGTGGGGGGGGGTTAAAAAGCTGCGGTCAAATGTCTAAATGAGTATAAGTTTGGTGAACACAAATGTAAAGCTTGTGCACACACCAGTCCAAGTAGAGAAGACGGGTGCTGAAAGAAGCATTCAAATAGCAAACGTGGTAAATGTGAAAACCACAATCGAATAGTATAACATAGTCTTGTGGCAGCATTGACAAATTACATAATCAGCAGTGAAATATCGGGGAGCTACATGAGTTTCCCGCAGTGTTAGTAGAATGGACAACAATTCGTTGTGTCAAGCCACCACCAAGTGATTGTGGATTAAAATGGACATTGGCAGTCGATCTGATTTAATAAAAAAGATAACGTGCAAAAACTAGGACACCTCCCTGAAGCCGATAAATCATTCATCTTTAGCCAAAGGCCACGTGAACTTGCACAGAGGGCTGCAGCTGTTCCCAAGCGGGGCAGCGTGGTCAGCTATAAAGGATTGGCCCCGATCTCTTCATTTTGTCCCTCTTATCTGGGTTAGTGGGAGGAACTGATTCAGTTCGGTCGTGATTAAGATCCCACAGGGCTTTCAACTGCGTGCACCACGCATGGAAGCTGCCTTAAGTGCTTGTCCGCACCCTACAAACGCTGTTTTTTTCACCAGGCAAAGAATGATGGTTAGAAGGCAAGCTCAAGTTTGCACTAAAATAATAAGAATAGCTACTGTATAGAGGTTGTATGGAGGTATTCTGTGTTGCCGTTTGGAGCATGAGAGGAGCGGCATGTACCGTGGAGCTCTGTCATGCCCTTTCCTGGTTTGACTGTGTGACTGCATTGCATTCTAAAACCAACAACTGTGTTTCTTAAAAGACACATGACCGAAAGTCATGTTACGGTACACGCGTGCTCACAAGGGAAGCCTCACATATGTGGGGCTTTTCTTTTCCCAAATAGCCTCTGGGTTTGGAAATAGGGCAGTAGCCCAAGTGTCAGAGGCTGGATAACACTGCATGGGTCAAGTGACACAGTTTTGTTTTGTTGCTGTCAGGTGGCAGAATTATTATGATTTAAAATGACATGGACATGAATTATAGCGGTGCAAAGGAAAAAAAATAAAAAACAACAGGAACCTCGGATCAACATTTGCATATTTGTGTTGTTTATGTATTGCTATTTTCCTACTGTGTTGTCACTGCCTTGTGTTGACACTTATGGAGTTGTTTTCATGCAATTTAGGCGTATAGGCATGCAGGTTGTGTTCTGTGAACACAGCCATACCGGATATGTCGCTTAAAATGTTACGCCAAGAGAAATTGAGTAGAGGCATTCAATTGGAATTGGCAGTTCAGGTTCCACTTTCAGATTTTTCTTAATAGTCTCAAATAGCGCTGACATAAGTAGTCCATCAGAACCTAGTCAAGTTGTCTAGCTTGACAACATTCTTCCTGAGGGCTCATCAAGATGTGTCCACAGCTTACCAAGAAGCATGTGAAAACTTCAAATTGAAGTGCTTAGGCCACAAAAAAACACAATTCTGAGATTTGGTCTGCCAGCAATACATCTTTGCTCGATTGAGGTTTTGGATTTGAAATGAACACTGATCGAAAGCAAACCAATTATAATCTTTGGAAGCGGAGTTTAAACATGTTGCTGTGTCACTGAGGAGGTTGTCATGACAAATTACTGCTTACCTGCTAATGTGCGGGGGATTTTGAGCAGAGAATCATGAACCAGAGGATCATCTGCAGCGTTCACAAGCAGCAGTGGTACATTTACCTACAAAATTACAATAACAGTCTATCAGACAAACACCACAGAAACTATGAATTTGTGTGACGTTATACCCAGTTGCCTTACATTGTGAATGTAATGTACACAGCTTTCTTTCTCATAATACTCTTTGAGAGAGCTGTGGCCGTGGAATTTCCTGTTGAAAGACATGAAAAACACAACTGATTCATTTGAAGAATTTTTTTAGGGGAAAAAGAGGAGAACGGAGAAGCAGTTTAGGACGTTCGTAATACGATGTGCGAATCCCAGCTGCAACACAATTCTATTCATGCTCAATCCAGCAGTCACACGACTGCTGAACAATGAGCGAAGGTTTCCATCACCTGCGAGTACTGAGAGCTGTGGCCGTGGAATTTCCTGTTGAAAGACATGAAAAACACAACTGATTCATTTGAAGAATTTTTTTAGGGGAAAAAGAGGAGAACGGAGAAGCAGTTTAGGACGTTCGTAATACGATGTGCGAATCCCAGCTGCAACACAATTCTATTCATGCTCAATCCAGCAGTCACACGACTGCTGAACAATGAGCGAAGGTTTCCATCACCTGCGAGTACTTGTTAACGGTGCTGCGTGAGGAGCATGGATGTAAACGACATTCTATTAGAATGTATTACAATGTAAACAATATATTCCTTGAAAACCAGATATTTTGAATATCATTTTTTCCCACTGCATATTTGTGATTTCATTCATTCATATAATTATTGTTCTACATGAAATGTGTTTTAATGGAGAAAAAAAAATCTCATGTCATTTAATTTAAGGAAAAGAAGTACTTTATTGGGGTGAATATTGTAATAATGAAATACAATTGTGTCCCTATCGTACAATGCAGGAAAATTCTTTGTATTGTCATATTATATCATGATGTGTGATAATAATGACATCCACGTCATACGTCATTTGTACCATTTCATTCTCTCATGTACCTCATGATGTTGTCATCGATCTGCATGAGAGACGTTGCTGTGTATAGCCGACCAAGATCGCCGGCTATCATTTTAACAGAGTTCCCCACAAATAGGCTGTGCCTGGAGTGTGCAAAAAAAGGAGAGGGAGCATGTGAATGCACAACAGTTAGCGTTTTGTAACTTTTTGAACAATAAACATCTATTCCTAGTAAAACGTTCAGTAGCAAAGAAAAAGAGTTTAAATGGTGCATTTGAAATCCGATGACTCTATGAGGACATACAAGAATAAAAACAAAGAGAGAGAAGAAAAACATAATAAACTGCTTGTGCCTGATGGTTTATTATCATTTTTCTTGTCCAAATTAAACCACCATTAAGGTATCACAGTGAAAGCCGCTAAACTTCGGTCCAGAGGCGTTACCTGTGTGAGAGGATTATTTTCTTCATGTTGTCAGCCATGAGAAAATTATAGAAGCGCCTGAACTGATCCCACTGCAGGAATGTTTCCTGGGCCCTGAGAGACAAACAGACAGGAAGTCAGCTTAGTGCTCACCGTGCTACTCAGCATTCCTAACGACGCCATATCAGACGTAATCCCTTGGACAAAGAGTCATGCCGACGAAGAGGAAAGACAGCGTCAGGCAATAACCAACAGCAAATTGGCCGAGACGTTGACGCCCCAAAACTAAGAATTAAATCCAAATGACTTTGGAACAGAGGCAATAACTTCAACTATCGAGAAAAAAAAAAAGAGTCGTGAATGTCGCTTCACACAAGGAAAGAACTTGTGCTGCTTATATCTGAACTTGGGGTCTTTTCTGTTTGCTAGGAGTTGCTGGCACGTGCATGGAGGTTCGACAGCAGCTGTCCCTCGTAATATCTCACCAGCGTGTCGCTATCAAAAGTGTTTATGAACAGGTCAGATTGCCAGTTTAGGTTACAGCGCCGTGCACATCAACACTTCTACTTTCCAACATCTATACGGCGGTTGCAGCAAATGATAAGAAATGCAGGGGAAAAAATGGAAGGCGTTACATACACCATAAAAAAATGAGACGACTGTGTTATCATACAATGAGTGAGATTAAGCGATGAGACATCCACCCACCTGAGAGCACTGTAACCTTGACAGACGCTGACACAGCACAGCACTCGCTCCTGGTTGGACATGTTTTCCCCCAGAAACTTGCAGACTATGTTTCCACCCAGACTGAAGCCCACCACTATCAACTGGGTCTGAGCATACGCCCGCTTGATGTACCCAACCATGGCGGCAAACTCCCACGTGCACCCTGTGAGGATCGGTTGACTGAGTTACAGATCAATACACGACAAAATGCATTTGTCTGGCTCGAGATAAACACTTGATGAGTTACCGTAAGTAAACATGCGTGGCGATGTGAGCTCGATGTTGGGTAGCGCTCCGAGGTGGTTCAGCACAGCACAGCGGTAGCCGTCCTTCTGGGCGTAATCCACAAAGGTTCGGATATAATGCTTCTCGCTGTGGTTACCGATACCAGGGCATATCACCATGGTGATATCATCTGGTCAAACAAGCCGAGGTATTTCATCAGTGAGAGATTATGGATAATGGTACTGCTTTACACCAAATAAAAACAAGTCAAGGTGATGTTCCAAAGGATTTTACTCCCGAGGAACAGAAAAAAAGTGAACCTACTTCAGGAAAACAAACATTTTTTAATCTAAAAATAATACATTATGATAATTTCAAAATGTATTCTTTGTGTGTGTGTGTGTGTGTGTGTGTGTGTGTGTGTGTGTGTGTGTGTGCCGGGGGCACT